GCCCACTAGGGGCTGGTTACCCTCCCAATTCAGCCCATGGGGCCCTCCGGGATAGGTGGCCCCACCCGGTGGACCCCCGGGACCCTTCCGGTGGTTCCGGTACAATACCGGCGACCTCCGAAACCTTCCCGATGGCCGAAACTGGACTTCCTATATATAAATCTTTACCTCCGGACCATTTCGGAACTCCTTGGGACGTCCGGGATCTCATCTGGGACTCCGAACAACTTTCGGGTTACTGCATACTAATATCTCGACAACCCTAGCGTCACCGAACCTTAAGTGTGTAGACCCTACGGGTTCGGGAGACACGCAGACATGACCGAGATGACTCTCCGGTCAATAACCAAAAGCGGGATCTGGATACCCATGTTGGCTCCCACATGCTCCTCGATGATCACATCGGATGAACCACGATGTCGAGGACTCAATCAATCCGTATACAATTCCCTTTGTCAATCGGTACATTACTTGCCCGAGACTCGATCGTCGGTATCCCAATACCTCATTCAATCTCGTTACCGGCAAGTCACTTTACTCGTACCATAATGCATGATCCCGTGATCAACCACTTGGTCACATTGAGCTCATTATGATGATGCATTACCGAGTGGGCCCAGAGATACCTCTCCGTCATACGGAGTGACAAATCGCAGTCTCGATTCGTGCCAACCCAACAGACACTTTCAGAGATACCTGTAGTATACCTTTATAGTCACCCAGTTACGTTATGATGTTCGGCACACCCAAGGCACTCCTACGGTATCCGGGAGTTGCACAATCTCATGGTCTAAGGAAATGATACTTGACATTCGGAAAAGCTACAGCAAACGAACTACATGATCTTTGAGCTATGCTTAGGATTGGGATTTGTCCATCACATCATTCTCCTAATAATGTGATCCCATTATCAATGACATCCAATGTCCATAGTCAGGAAACCATGACTATCTTTTGATCAACGAGCTAGTCAACTAGAGGCTCACTAGGGACGTGTTGTGGTCTATGTATTGACACATGTATTACGATTTCCGGATAACACAATTATAGCATGAACAATAGACAATTATCATGAACAATAGACAATTATCATGAACAAAGAAATATAATAATAACCATTTTATTATTGCCTCTAGGGCATATTTCCAACACTTCTCTAAAATTCAAGAATCTCTCGATTTGAGTCTAAGGAGTTGCATACCACTCGGGCCAATCTCGGGCAGGAGAATTGGGAAGGGTTCCACGAGTCACGAACAACTCAGAGACTGCGACCATCCACCTCCCTGAGGCATTCCTAACATACGACTAGACCGTGTTGTGTTGAGGCGACTTGACCTATTCAAAAAACAATGTTGTTGGTTTTGTTCGTGTACGACGGCCTTCACTATAAGAATATTGTGCACCCCCCCACCGGGGGGCTAAGTTTGCTTACAATTGCACTACTAAGGATACTCCCTATTCGAGAGTTGTTTTCATAACAACATGTATAAAATGCATATGTAATGTGACTTACCCTTATGGGACACGACGTTTGGCTCACAGGTGCAAATGCTCTTGTGGGTGAACAGTAAAATCGTTTAGAATGGTAAAAAAATCCAAAAAAAACTGAAATTTGTTGTGGTGTGTGATGCCTGTGCCAAATTTTGTGGTGTTTGGACATCTCATTAGCTCTCGGCGAAAAGACAAATTTCGGGCGTGTGTGAAACTTCTGAAAACAACGCTATTCAGAGTTCATTTTGCTTTTTTTGCCACGAATTACTCGATTGTCACTTATGCACAAAATTTTAAACGGACCTGATACACTCAAGAATTTTGCATTAAGAAAATCAGATCTTTTTTCAATGTTTCTGCTACTTCTTTATTTACTGTTCACCAGGTACAGATGAGCCCGGGCACGGAATTGAATTACTGGATTTTATGTGGTTTCTGATCCTCCTCGGTTGCAGATGATGTTGTTGCTTCTATAAATACTATTCTACTCAAATGCAAACATCATTTGGCCATAACAACATTTCACTACTAGGGTGTCCTCATGTTAACCATCACTCGCAATATTTTCAAGTACTTTATGTTACTGTTGGTTAGTCGTGAGTTTGTAGAAGTGCATGTTTTTTTGAAAGATCCAGCAAATTGCTGGCTTGATTCAGATTAAGCAGAAAGCAGCGAAAGAACAACATGGTGAAGATCTGAGGATCAAAAGAGAAAGGAAAAATTGCGGTCCTAATAGCTGCAGAGAGCTACACCCACCACAAACAACATGACTACACAACCGAAGCACCTGTCCTAAGCTAAGCATCACCACCGCGTCTCGAACAACGCCGATCACCTCCGAAGACAGCAGCAGCTCCCACTGCAACTTCCCTCGCCAACGCACCATCCACCCTGGAAGCAGGGGGGAAATGGCGGGACTTGGTTGATCCCAGGAAGAGCTTCGCCTTGGACTCATCGATGATTTCGTACACTGCGTCTGGAGCTTCACCTTGAACAGCGGCGAGCACTGAAGGAGCGCTGCAAAGAGCTTCCAGGAAATGTCTCCAAACGTGATGCTACCAACAGAGGAACGACGTCAAACACGCCGCCATCACACCGATCCAACATCGGACCTAGGATTCCGCCCGGAGATAAACCACCATCCGAGCACGAGGAAGATGCCGACACACCTCAGGTGACGCCTCCAAGGAGGAAAATGACACCCACATGCGCCATCGCCACCGGCCTCTGGTCGTGCAGGACTTTTGTCCGTATCGCCGCACACCTTCGCTCATGCCCACAGAAGCTCGTCCATGCAGTCTCGCACCGCCACCGCCGCAGAACCTAGTCATAGAAGCCATGGAGTCGTGGTCCACCCCGCCCACAGCGAGCCTACAGTGACCAGATCAGTCCCTGTATCCCGCATCTATCACGGCCGGAGCCGCCTGCTCCAGCATAGCTAATGCAACCAAAAGACCGATCTGATGAAGGGAGGCGGGCAATATATTTCAACACTTCCCCTCACATCTAGTCCATTTTAGTCCTTAAACGTGGGATCGTTGTAGGCCGCAGAATCGTTTTTATTTAATACTGTATTGGCGGGGTATTGAACTCAAGACCTCTTGGCTCGGATACCATATTGAATTCATGCTCTAGCCAATGCAACATATAACAGTTCAAGAAGGAGACCATATAAGAGTTATTGCGGCATATAACACCCTACACATGCAACATATTGGATGTTGGGCAATCGCCTGTGTAGGGTGTTAAATGGGAAAGCCCATATAACAGTTCATCATTTGCCAGCTATTGCGGCATGTATACTACTTTTTTCAGCATGTTTTTTTTGTTTCAGACTTTATTTTATTTGCTTAAATTTTAAAAATTGGCCATAATATATATATGATTTATATATTCATGAATTAAAAAAATATTCCTGAATTTAAGAAAAACTTCCCTAAAATTAAAAAAACTCATGATTTTTAGAAATACTCATGAACTTAATATTTTTCCCAAATTTGAAATGTGTTCATGAGTTTTAGTGTTCACAACTTTAAACCGCATTTCCTTTTTTTCGAATGGCAAGAAATATTCATGAATTTAATATTTTTCTGAATATATTTTTTCCAGGAATTTTGAAAAGTATTCCGAATTTTAAAAATGTTCACAGATTTTAAAATATATTCAAAAAATTCATACAATGTTTATGAACTTTACAAAATTCCCGTGTTTCGAATACATTGGTGAATTCAAAAAATATTCCTGAATTAAACAGAAAATAGTAAAAATAAAAATTGGAAAAACCAATAAAAGCGTAAAAAAAGAAACATGAGAAAAAGAAAAGAAATTAATGATGCGACATACGTGGTAGTGGTGGGGTGTGCGCCCGTCTATTCCTCAAGCCAAGCTCAAAGGCCCAGCTGATGTGTGGGTGTCCATGGCGAGTTGAATAGGACGCTAGTGCAGTTGGCACCCTTGTCGTCATGCGCGATGTGATCAGTTCTACGACAACGAGGATGAAGATAATCTCCCACCCTTTGAAATTATTTGTCGAAACAAATGGATGTATCTAGATATGTTTTAGTCTACACCCATATTTATCCATTTATACGACAAGTAATTCCGGACGAAGAGAGTATAACATGTGGGCCATTATAATCGATGATAGTAGACTATAATCCCAGTTGGTAATGAGTTTTTCCCCGTGCATCAACCAGGGCCGGGATCGATCGGGATCAGTGCGCAAAAGCGGGATTGAAAGGTTAAGGTTCAGTTCCCACGGGCAAGTTCGGCGGAGTGGTTTTGATTAGCGTTTTGACTGATGTGGCACCTACATATAGGTCTGTCACGTGCAACATCACTATTTTTGTTCATAAAGTTGCATAAATTTATTTCATAAAGGAAATATGAAATAAGATCTTTTGTGTGTGTGTGCAAGAAACAGTTTAATTCAAGCAGCAATCAATCATCTAGCACGTCAGAAACCACTTCTTCACAGAGCTGTACTCACCGATCCCGATCGATCCTGATCTTGACCCAACAACTTCCAACCAAACAACAAGCACTTCACAGTACGATTACACGTTGAACTGAGCTTTCAGTTGGTCTCCAAAGCTGACGGAAAAGATCTTTCTGATTGCGAAACAGTGATGCAACAGCAACCCCCTGAAGACTGGAGGCTCGACACGTTTTATTGGATGAGGCCACTCGATCACCCCTGCTTTCCAGAGCCAAGGAAGGGGCAGGCCTGCGGCTGCGCGTCGGCACCTGACGCCGACACCGTAGCCGCCTCGCGGAGCCTCCCGGCGAGCGCCGCCGCCTCCTCGTCTTCCTCCTTGGGGCCCTTGACAAGCCCCGCGAGCAGCTCCCCCGGGTCGTAGAACACCTCCACGTCCTCCGCCCGCAGCTGCTCGTCCACCTTGAGCACGGCGACGCCGTAGAACTCGACCTTGTCCCCGGTGGGGGCGTTGCCCTTGTAGGGCCCCTCCATGTGGCCCCAGTGCCGGAACTTGAAGGCGATCACCGGTGGGCCGGAGTAGACCTTGACCACCTCCCACGCGAAGCCGCGCGGGAAGGCGGAGCGGAACAGGTCGTGCGAGGACTCGAACGTCTCGGCGGCGGCGTCGTACGCGCCCGTGGCCGGCAGGATCGGGCTGGCGAGCAGCGCGTTGTAGCTGCCCATGGCCAGCGTCTCCTCCCCCGTCAGGGCCCGCCCGCCGTTCACGGACAGGGTGAACCGGCCGGGGCTCACCGACTTGAAGTCCCCGATGCGGGCCTTGTGCGACAGCTCCATCTCCCACGTCTTGATCGCGTTCTGCACCGTCTCCTCCAGCGACCCCTTCGCCCACTCCTGCAAAGAAGGGACAAGAAACACGCGTGTGACGCACCGGTGCATGCAGATGCGGCCACCGGTTTGCCGCGAGGCCGCGACAAAGAGGCGTTCTTTCCCCGTCGCAGAAAACAAGAACCGTGGCGTTCCTTCCACACGACGGACATAGGACGCGCGTGCGTGTGACGAACTGAAGATCGACGACGAAATACCTGAGTCCTCCCGGCCTCGAAGAGGCTGTTCACGGCGTCGTACGTGGGCGGCGCGCCGTGCCGCCACACGGTGTTCTTCTCGCCCTCGCCGGCCAGGTGAGACCTGTACTTGTCGCCGCCGGAGGAATCTCCTGCCGGTGCCGCCATCAGATCAGACGCGCACGCTGAGAGCCTGAGACACTCAACGGATGGTGACGAAGGTGCTGAGTGCTGTGGGTAGTCTCACGCTCGCCTTTGAATGCAATTATGGATGGCTGGATGGGTGGGTGGGGTTTTTAAAGGTGTGCGTCGGAGGGTATACAGGCTTGTTTATCTGACAGATGAACGTTTTTCCCTCAGGAAACCAATGTAGATGCTGCGCGTGTATATATGTCTTTTGCCTTTTGCCAGCCAGGCCATTGTTACCTGCCTTAAACTTTTTCTTCGATGAAAAAACACTCGGGAATTAGTGGTTGCTTAGACAATTTGTGGAAATATATTACTACTGTTACTGTCTTGATTGATGGAGTAAAAGAAATGTAGGTTTGACTACAGAGGTTATTTATCCGACGGAGAATCTTTTTGACACTTCGCTTCTAGACCTTGGCCACCCAAATTGACTGTCGCAAACTTATCTCAGCGCTTCATCTGCTTCTCATGGGTGATCACCACCTTCCTCATCTTACCCCTCTACTAAGAAAGGCACTACAACTCAAGACCAAAACTCCCCTTATACGCACTGAAAAGAAAAAAGATAAAGTCATTTCGTCCTGTTAAGCTTACCGCCCTACGTTCTCCCCGCCCCCTCCCTGTTTTAAGTTTCTTCCTTTTATCTTTCGGGTTTCTACTAGACTAATAAATGTTTACTAAATATAAGATCATTTGATCAATGTTTACTAAACATGCCGAATAAAAACATAGTATTTTCTTTGATAAACTAATATAAATGTTTACTAAATATAAAAGTCCCACTTTTTTTCTATATCACATAAAAAATCTCACTAAATCTTTAACATCATAAATGTATAAACAATGGCGGCGCAATTGCAAGCTAAACTTACTGCAGCACAGATGCAATTGTCTAGTACCACTAAAAATAGGGTCAAACAGCAAACCAAGTTGTGGTTGAATGGTCAGAGGAACCGACGAGGCGCCTACGATGACTTCTTTTTAAATCTTAAAATGATATGCCGGCTCAGTCTCTCGAGGGTGTTCATTGGATAGGGTGTACTGAAGCCACTGGGGATCAGTATTCCTTGCTTGCTATCGGGCTAATTCGTAGTCGTAGCACTAGAAGCATGGAGAATGGTTAGATGAGTATGATTGAGATGTTAATTATATTATTATTATTATGGTGGGTAAAAGTATTCAAGGCTTGACTACCGGGGTTATTTAACTGACCGAGAATCTTTTTGACCCTTTGCTTCCTGACAATGGCTACTCAAATTGATTGGGGAACATCACTTAACGCAAACTTAACTCAGCTTTTCATCTTCTTATGCCTGACCACACCACCTTCCTCACCTTAGCCTTGTACCGCCTACAGCTCGAAGACCAAATACCATTAAAAAGTTTTTTATTAGAAAAGAAGATTACCCCGGCCTCTGCATCAAATGATGGCAGCCCCTTTATGAATCAAAGTATCCAAAAGGTCTATGATTCAGAATAAGCTTGCTCAGAGGTGAAAAGGTGAAAAAACAAGTAAAAAGTGCCACAGCAGACGAAAATAGGACTAGATGACTAAACACCTATCCTATTATTACTGGACCGCCATCCAAACCGATTGTACATATCCGAGCTACCATCTTTCATCGTATAGACCAAGTAACCAAAGACTCCCTGACTCCCTGGCTTCCACTAAAAGGATTGCAGCTCGAAGACCGAATACCACTAGAAAATTAGGGCCGAGTTTAGCTAATTCTTTTCGAAATGGAAGGATGAGCCTAGCTACTGAATTATCTAGCAATTTGGTTTTATCGCCTCTACCTCTATCGGTCTATCTTATTTTTGTCTTATTTTATAAGAATGGTTATCCCCAGCCTCGTCTCTGTTGCTTTGCATCAGAATAATATATGCAGTCATATTATTAAGCAAAAGGTTCAAATAAATCTGAGATCCGGTACAGGCTCATAGTCTACCAGTCTATCTTGCCACCTTAAAACATGCACTCCTACCTCCCTAGATTGTCGACAATCAACATTGTGGTCCAACCCACGCTGATCCCTATGATTAGCGCCTTGCGTTGGAGGATAAAGCGCCCAGCTCTTTTTCAATTTTCTGCTCTCTTTTTTCACCGTAAGTGCCTGCATGAGAGTCTACCATTGTAGACGCCCTTATCAACCAAAAGGTCCAAATAGATCTGAGATCCGATACAGGCTCACAGTCTATCAGCCTATCGTGCCACCTTAAAACATGTACTCCTACCTCCCTAGACTGTTAGACAATCGACATCATCGTTGTCCAACCCACGCTGATCCCGCTCGCCGCTAGCCAACAGAACCTAAGCCGCCATAGCCATACTATCCACCGTCCAGTTGCTACCCACGCACAAACCACATGCATGGGCATCGCCAGATTCTATCATATTCTTGATGGTAAATCACGATATAATATGCACCCGGCCACTAAGCATCTCTGCGGAGTACGAGGCCCGTGAGGACATCTGACATTCTGAGTGCATAATATATCTACCTGGCCGGCGGCTAAGCCTCATTAACAAGTACAAGCCTGATCACTTTCTCACAAGCAAACATTTGTACGTAGCTCAATTTGAGCTCATTATTTAGTAAAAAAAGGAGCATGCCCCTGACGGCTACAATGATACCGGTCACCTGCAACCCCTTTATGTCGTTTTACCCTTTTGTCGACAAAGAAAAAGGCCCCTTTACCTCGGTAAAAAACAAAGCAGGATCTATCAAGCAACTAAATCACTTTCGGTGCCACACTGTTTGTAAATCCGATCACACGTACTACAGGGAACAAAGAACGCACAATTTAAATCTGGATTGATACTGATCTAAAACATCTTATATTAGTTTACGGAGGGAGTAAGAATTAACTGAGGATGCGTTGAAACTTGCTTGACTCCATTTTTCGCTAAACGTAGGACACAAAGCTTGGTTCATATCAGTTGTAACTTTACAAGGCACATATGATTAAACCTCCTCAATGCCAATGGTTCCCTCGGACATATACTGACTTCTATAAAACATCATATTCATGAAATCAAACTCAGCTTGATCCTCACTAAACGATCCATCCGTCCGGCCGGGCAAACCTCTCAACCCGGTTTTTCTTTCGCTAATTGCTCGCTTTCTTGTGAAAAAAATAGCCGTGTTGCTATCTCCTTCAACCAACCATTGGACACTAGGCCGCTGCCACCACATTATTTCTTCATCAGTTCTGGAATATGGCCTTTGATTTTGATTTCTTCATAGAAGGGTCCCACCCTATCCCTAATAGCACGGAGCTGTTCTAATCTCTTCTTAAGCTGGGAGGAACGGAGGAAATTAGCTTGCGGGCTTTCGGCCTTGTTCACGTTGACATGTTGCATTGTGTGAATTGATGTGGTCAGTTACCTTTAACAACTTTCCTTGTAATTTTTCTATACAAAGTATAGAAAATTATAGAAGTTTATCATTCACCATAGCACAGCCCCCGGCATAACCTGTTTCTAGCTCGGCCACTGCATTTGTCTGACAAATATTTTCGAACGAAGAGAGTACGATTGAGCACATGACCATCCTCAGTTGGTTTAACACCCACGTGATACCCAATTTCATCCCATAAAAACAAGACGGAAAATTGAACCGCCCAAAATCCGTGGTGTTGGGGCAAGTACGTAGTACGGGCGCTTGGGGTTCCGAGGAGCCGGCATGGGCATCGGTTTTTGTGGGAATCTCGCCGCAGCGCCGATGATTCAAGCCACGCCCACACGTACCGATTGCTTGGTTGGGTCCTGTAAACGACTTATGCATGTGGCATGTATGCACGTACAGACGCCACCATCGTCGGCGGTGTGCCACGTACGGAGGGGCAACAAATGCTCCTGCAGCGTATAGACGAGGATCTTCATCTTCTGCAGGAGATAAAATATTTTTCTTTTGAAAAAGCAAGAGATAAGTTTGAGCTGGCGGTGGACGGCTACTGCGTTGACAAACATATCCAAGTCCAAGCACAAGAGCGATGACTGCCTTGCAGCTACGTACGCACAGTAGCCGGGACGGGGACGGGGAGAACGACCATGTTGTTTATTCTCAGGATGACGACACCTCTTTCGCGTTGCCGCTGGAACAAGCAAAGTGGCGCTCGAGCTGATTGCAGGATGACATGAACTGAAAATGGACGAACATGGATAAGCTGGGGCCTCAAGCAGCTAGTCTCCGTATCTTATACGTTGCTTTGCGTGTTTGAACCTCCGTATTCCGTCATCAATGGTAACGGAATCCGCCGAGGGTCGCTTCGAACTAGTATAAGTTTAGTTTGTCTTGTGGGGAAGAACTATATTTTTCAGAGTACGCCAATGATTGTACTATCATATTTTTATACAGAAGACAACAAATAGATTGGCAAGTGAGTCCTCGACAATGCCATGCAATCACACTGACTACACCAAACCAAAGGATGATTTAAACTAACTACTCGGTCCGTTTCAAAGAAAAAACTAACTAACTACTCAGGAAAAGCTATGTACACCGTACCGGCCTCCTTTCATGCCTTCAACTCGTCTAGGGTGTGATCTACAAGGGTGGGGAACAGGCGGTGCATGTCTCTGTTGTTGCAGCCCCAAGCATTTCGAAGCGTCCATGTCTTGTTGGAAAGATCTTATAAATTCATTTCGTCTCGTTTGGAGCTTGAGGTCTGTTTCATTTCACGCTTAAAAGTTAAAAGGTACTTCATCCGTTCCTAAATATAAGCCCTTTAAGATATTTCAATACAGACTATATACAAGCAAAATGAGTGAGTCTACGCTCTAAAATATGCCTATAAACATCCGCATATAGTCCCTGTGGAAATCTCTAAAAGGGCCTATATTTAAAACGGAGGGAGTAATACACTTGCGTCCAGAGGAGTACCTAGGAGGTGGGAATAAGTGTGACTTAGTGTAAACATATTTTCTGATGCAAGGACGGTAAAAATGGTTTTACACATCAAATGCCAGGAGGAGAACAAAGACTTCTGAACTTTTCACTAGGCACACCTCCCAGACTCTTAAACTTTATAGAACCCGTAAGTTTTCCTGGTTTGCAACAAAAACTTGGAAGCTGAGATGATGTTAAACAGAGTCAACAAGCTAATGAAAGGCTTACCAGAATGTTGCACATCGTCTAATAAAATGTTTACCGGAGTCCAAATCTTTGGCAAGCAAGAAGGTATGACATTTGGATAACGTCTACTACAAATACCTCACTTTCACGTGTGGAATAATCTTGCTGCCCATGTCAGCAGTGGTTATAGAATAAGGAAGAAATGTCGTAAGGAGCATACCATCGTCAAGAAAGATGCGTTATTGGTCAGTTGATCATGACCGAAACATATAAGGTTAGAAAATCAGCCACTTAGGCCTCTTTGATTCAGATGTATATTTTAGAATCTCAAATCAACATTTATTATCAAACAGGGGTATTTGGATTTTAAGTAATGAATGTAAGAGGACAAATACCCAGATGGACAATTTTGAGGAAAAAAAAACCCATGAGGAACTGTGTTGTGATTCTGCCTATAAATTCTGTACAATTCGTGTGATTCCACATGACCCAGTTCCAGCAGCATAACTCACAATATATTTAGACGGAAAAACCAGGGAAGCATGAAAGCAATCAGTAAGCAAGCTAGCAAGAAGTTGCAAAACGGCTGCCGCCGCCAGCAAGTGCTTTCCCTCTCTACCATAGCCCCGGTGGTTGCCATTCTTCGCCCATGCCACTCCTCCATGAATTTTTTCACTTCCACGCCAGTAATGTTTTTGGCCTCTGAACCACAAATTTCACAGCGCCTGTGTAGTAATTAAAGTTTTGCATTTCTTAGCCACTTGATGCAAGTTTCAGAGAGATCACAGGACAAATTGATACAAGATTGTTAAAGCATGAGAGTTTGAATAACTGCAGAGACCCTGGTAGTTGGCTAGTTGCTAAGAAAAATGCTAACTGAATTAAATGTAAAAGGTTTGGTTCGCCTACGGATTTTTTTGGTTGATTTGACCCAGCCAAGAGAAAAAGACAATTGGGTTTATCTGATAAAAATATCTCATATCGTCAATGCCAAAGGGAAGCCACTCACATGTCGAGAGTGACATAAAGGCTTAGATAGTCACGACATACAAGAGGGTGAAAAGCATAATCCCAGCCAGCATCCAGAAGGAACGAATTTAGTCCTTTGCTTCATTCAGGACAATAACCCTTCCACACACAAAAAAAAACACAAGAGATTCTATACTGAGGTGGCTACCAAGCAACACCCCAGACATTTTCCGAACGTCCACTCCAACCTAAATCGTCATTTCAAAAAGCAACAGCGAGTGAAGCTTGGCCAAACCTAAGACGCTGAAACTTTGCCGTATCAAAGAAGCAAGATCGCTACATTCTCTTCTCTGGTACTCCCTCCGTTCCAAATTACTTGTCGCAGAAATGGATGTATCTAGAACTAAAATACATCTAGATACATCCATACATGCGACAAGTAATTCGAAACGGAGGGAGTAGCAACTTTGGCTAAGTGGCTAATAGCGATAACTGTTCGTGTTGCCCTATGAACTCTGAAGCTTTCCCCTCTATAACATAGAATTTTGACCCTATAGCCATTCAGATTTCAGAACGAGCACTGTATTCCTGACTTCTAGTCTGCTAACTTCAAGATCATTCACATTTATAAAACGGCAACTCCTGGCCTGGGAGGGAGAAGCCACACGCCCAGTGCGCCTGTACGGCATTCTGCGAGGAATTACAGCAAGCAGCTAGCATACACTACGGCAGCAACAAGTGCCGCGTCGGAAACAAGCGAGCAGCACGATGCAGCAGAGGATAGAGCGAGCCAGGGAGGTCTTACCTATCGCCCTTGATCCGGAACCACGCCTCGGCGCATTGTCGGTGCGCGTGGCCGAGCTCCTCCTTGCAGCAGCAGCCGAGCCGGATCACCTCCGACCCAGGCGCCGCCGCGGGCCCGTCGCCACCCTCGGGGATGAGGTGGCAGATCCGGCACGCCACGCCGTGGGACGCGCCCCCCGCTTCGAGGTCGACGTCGATGGCCGCCGACGCTGGCGCTGGCGCCGAGTCGACTTCGATGGCCACCGCCTCGGCATTCGCTGTTTCCGCCCCGCCGGCCGCGATCTGCGGCGAGGTCACGACCGCCGCGGGCGCGACGGCCGCGTCTCGCCGCATCGCTCTCGGGGCGAGGCTGTCGGTCGCGGGGGCTGCGGCGGGAACAGGAGGCGGTATGATAATACGGGGTGCGTGCGGCGGGACAGTTTGGGTGGGTCGCTATGGACGCGGGAGGGAGTTGGGTCGAAC